AAAAAAAAAAATGACCGGGTATCCTAAGATGATATTCTAAGGTCATTTTGAGGACTGACTGTCACAAATCAAGTGACTGTTTGCTTAGAAAGTGCAGGGTTTTTGGGGTAGGCACTTCTTCCGCAGGACAGGACGGTCTTTGAGTCTGTGTGCCAGAGCACCTGAAATGGGCAGAAATTCTGGACAAAAGCAATACTAAAACTATGTAAGCTGAAGCTAAAAAAGATGTCTGGCTTCTGCCTAGAACCTGTGAAACCAGAGGAGGAAAGAAGCAACTGTTCCTAGCACACGGACAGCCAGTGATATAAAAACAGAATCCTTGGGTTACCTGTCTCCCACTGTGGTTCCCCAGGGCATTTGTTTCCTGCTTCTTCCCCTTTACTTGCCTAGTTAGCTCCAGTTCCTTAAATAGATGTGCAGATATTGGGCATGTGGATTTCCTGGAGAAGGTTCACCAGCTGGCAGAAAGACCCTACATCATTGCTGGGCTGCACTTTGACCAGGTCTGAATCTGACATTGCCCAAAGCACTGACTCCCATGGCCACGTTACCTCACTGATGGAGCAGTCTGGCATCTGCTCTTTCTGAAATAAGTGTGCTGTGCTCTGGAGGCCAAGGAGAGGGACGGGCTGGCCCGTGCAGGATGCCAGTGCTGGGCAGTGATGGGCAAGGGGTTGCTTTGTCTCCTCTAATGGTGGCTGGTGCTTTGCTGTAGGAAGTAAACCGGTACAAAGGGAAGAACTATCCCATCATGAACATCCATGAGAGAACGCTCAGTGTCTTAGCCTGTAGGGTAAGTGTCTACAGCTCTGTCACTCCTGCATTTCTGCTCCTTGTAGAAATTGCCTGGGAGCTGGTGTTGCTCACTTAGCAGCCAGCAGTCTTGCGTGTGTTCTTTAATGTGCACAGAAAAGGCAAAGACTGGTCACTTTGGCTACCAGAGGTCCTGGTGTGCTCCTGTGAGGAGTTGCTGGGCTCATCTGGCATCCTGGCTAACCAGGGGTGTGGAGCCCTTTCATCTCTCTTCCACTGACAACAAAAAGGCAGAATTATTTGCAGAGGTTTGCTGTGTACTATGCTAAAGATGACTGTGTTCTTGCAGAAAGATATCCATCCCTTTGCAGCAGAGGAGAAAATTCCTGACAAATAAATGTAGGGAGCCCCAGAATTGCTTGCGCTGAGCAATTATCTTTGGATTTGCTATACACACATTACCAGAGTGGGTTTTTAGTGGAAGAAGAGGTGCTGTGTGACAAGTACTGGATAGTAAACTCACTAGTTCCTTTGCTTGAGTTCCCAAAGTCATAACCAGATGAGTTGTTCGAGCCTGTTAGGAAGCAGGCTGGATTCTGTGTGTGTCTTGTTTTTGTTGTTGCTGTTGTTGTTTT